GGGCCGCACCTGCGGCCTCCAACTCGGCCGCCTCCTGGCTATCGCCGGCCCCCTCAAACTCCAGCAGCTCGTCGTGCTCCAGCACCACCAGGCGCATGTTGGCGACCAGCTGGTCAGTGCCCTCCTCCACCCAGTGCCTCCACACCACATCACCGGGCCTGCTCCAGCAGGTCGTCCAGCCGCTCGAGCGCGCCCACACCCGCCGCCGCGGCCCGACGCTCCGCCTGCGCCTCTGCGGCGTCGCTCCTTGCGACGGGGCCCCCCGGCCGCCCGCCGCGGGCGCGCGCGGCCCTCCGTGAGCAACGATCAGGCCGCGGCGCGACGAACAGCCGCGGCCCCGCGCCGGCCGCGCACAGCAGCGCCGCCCCAAGCGCGGCCAGCGGGCACCGCGCCGCGGGCGCCCAGCGCCGCGGCGGCAGCCCCGCGCCGCGGCCGCCGGCGCGGCCGCGGCGCCGAGGCGCGGCCATCCCTCTTCTTGACGGGCACGGCAAAGAAGTGTTCCCGAGAGAGCCCCCAAATCGCTTGACAAGGTCTCCAAGAGGCTTCGCCGAACAGCTTGATCCAAGATGCCTGGAGCCAAAATGGCTACGGAGGGGCCAATGGAGGTGCTCTTGGGGCGTTCTGGCGGCGTCGTCGGCCGTCCTGAGGCCATCTTCGGCGTATCCAGGGCCTCTTGGGGCTGTATTGACAATCGTTAGGGCCCTCTTGGCGTGTCGTGGCATGTTTGGGAGCGGGCCCGGGCAGTCCCGGGAGCAGTGGGACCCCCCCAATACCCCCATAGGGGGGTACGGCACCGGCCTTGGCCACCCCCCTGGCCTACTCCGATATATATATATATATATATATATATATATATACACAGGTATAGATGTATATATATACACATGTACATACGTATGCATATATATCCTTTATGCCAAGACCAGAGAAACTGGAATCATATTGAGATGCCACCTAGCGGCATCGCCTGGACCCGAGCGAAACTGACACGATGAGACGTGCAGAAACGGCGAGGGTCCACCACCCAGAAGGAAGCGGGGGAGGAGAGGAGGCAGGAGGACCCTGAAAAAACTTGAGCCGTGGGATTGCGGAGCGGAAAACGGGCCCAAGACGCCACAAGTATGAGACGGCCCAGGCAACAGGAGCACCCCATCATTCAAGCACTCCTTTATGCAAAGACCAGAGAAACTGGAATCATATTGAGATGCCACCTAGCGGCATCACCTGCCTAAAGACTGGACCCGAGCGAAACTGACACGATGAGACGTGCAGAAACGGCGAGGGTCCACCACCCGCCCCCAGCACCAGAAGCTGTTCTAATGAGGGAGAGGAGGGAGGGAGGCGACGACAGAGGAGGAGATAGCATTACAGAGAGATGTGGGATATGGCCCAGCCCGCCTGGTCCAGAAAGCGCCTGAGGGGTCTTTGCCTTCGAGGGCCTGGTGGCGGTGGCCAATGCGCCGACACCTTCTTCCCGTACATCGGCGTTCCCACGATTCCAAGCCCGGGAGAGCGCCAACAAACCGAGTGCACTTTCTCCAGGGCATCCCATACATGCAGTAGTCTAACACTACGGAGGACGCTCTCCCCTCAAGAATCCGTATCTCATCTAAAAGCCACAGGCGGGAGGTCCGAGGATTCTCTAAAACCCATGGAACGTGACATTTGTTGCATTCACGAGCAAGACTACAAACAACACGCACTAACATGTTGGCGTTTGACACACGTGCACGCTGCTTTGCATCGAGGTCGGGCAGACCATACAGATAAGTGTTCGAGCGGAGAGGGCGAGGGCCATTGGGACGGTCGGTGGCACGTGAGAAAGTATTACAAGGCACACCGAACCACACGAAACAAAAAGAGCCAGCACGAATTTTGTCTCGAAGAAGCCCCACGACGCTCGGCCGCAGCAAGTCAGCGCCAGGGCCGTCGGCGACGTCGCAGGCCTCCGCGGGCACTCCACTCCGAGCGAGAGCGCGGGCGAGCTGCCCTGAGCCGGAAAAAATCTCGGCTGCAACTCGGCGCTTCAGGCACGGGGCGGCTGGGCCACTCGGGACGGCTGTCCAAGGAGCGCCCCCGCGATGGAGGACTCGGCAGCCGCGGCGAGGTCGAGTAGCTCCTTCGGGCTGCCGCCCAGCGCTTGCTGCAGTGCTCCGTGCCTCTCGTACCTCTTCACCGATCTGCCGCGCTTCATGATGTCGGGGAGCGTGCGGCGCCCGAGAAGGGCGTCTCGGCTCGGCCCGCTGCGCCGGGGCTGGCAGCTCGCGAGGTTCCGCCTGTCGGGCCCGAGGTCGAGGCACGCCTGATCGAAGTCCTTCCCGACGGCAGCGGGCTTCGTGACGGACAGGGCCTCGTGCGGGGCCCGCTGGTCCTTAAGGGGCCCCAGTACCTTGCTGGTCCGAAAGTCCCAGTCTGACAGGGTGACCGCGTCGTCCAGCACGCCTGTCTTGGTGGGGATCCCGACGCTCGAGGAGCCGAGGGTGAGCACGCCGCGCTCGCGGCCGCGATGGTCTCCGATCGGCGGGGCGAAGTCCTCGGCCCAGAGCCGCGTCGCCTCGCCAGTGCGCAGGTACGCGTCGTGCATCATCGACACCCGGCGGGCGCTCTCCAGCCCCCCGCGCCAGAGCATCGCCGTGATGTTCGCGACGACCCACGCCTGCCGAAGGCCGAGGCGGCAGGCCACGGGAGCGGCCTTCAGAAAGCCGCCGAGGGCGCGGGCCGCGAGCGGCAGGCCGCCTAGCCCTGCTCTGGAGAAGCGCGGGATCCCGAGCTTCACCGCCGCGAGCAGCTTCCCGCCCTGGTCGGCCTGCCACCCATCGAAGTACATCAGGTCCATCAGCTGCACCCGCACCTCGCCTACGCCCTCGTCCTTGTGGAGGTCGAAACCGTGGGCGACCACAAAGTCCAAGAACCCCTTGAACTTCTGGAGATAGTAAGGGATCGACTGCCTTCCGACGGACTTCATCTCGAGGAGGCGCACCATGATCCCTTTCAGCTCGAGCTCCTCCTGCATCTCGCAGTCTCCTGCCTTGACTGCCGCCGGGCGGGTCCTCGCCCGCGCCTGCCGCGCCAGGGTCTGCAGCCTGCGGCTCCAGCCGGCGTTGGCTGGCAGCGTCCGAGCTGAGGCGGCCTGGGGCAGGCGGCGGTGCGTCGGGGGCGGCAGCCCCCGGCTGACTTCGCGGGGGGCGGAGCACGCCTGGTGAGGCGGCGCCTGCAGCACGCCCGAGACCCACGGCTCCTTGGCTGGGCGGCTGCCGGCGGGCCCCTGTGGGAGACCAGCAGACGCCTCGCCATGGGACCGTTTGGCCTGTGTAGGCGGCAGCAGTCGCCCCCTCACCCGCGCGAGCAGCCGCGGGCGGCCCCGGGCCCGAGCCTCCACGAAGCTTGAGACGGGCCAGACCTCGTTCGCGGCTGCGGTGGTCCTCTGTAAAATACCGACGGGAGGCGGCATCAGCGACATTGATCTCTAAAGGAATCCAGCGCCATCGAATGGTCATGTCCATAGCAACGGTGAACGCGGCATTTTTCCTGCAGAGCATCAGCAGGCCGAAGTTGTCTGCCAGCCCCTTGGCAAAAACAAGGATCATACCCAGATTGTCACCTATCTCGAGATGTCGCTTGCCTCGGTTGAGCAGCGAACGGCAAGTGCGTCGCACAAATATCAGCCCTGTGCGCCCCTCAAGCATGGTGATATGCTCCTCGTCTCTCCAGCGGCCAGCCACGCACTCGCGCCAGACGAAGTCCTGGAAAATGGAAGCTGGGACCTCCGGGAAGTCCTGCACGGGCTGCCACCGCCGCCGAGACCAGTCGCGAGGGAGAACGGTCTCCGCGTTGCTGAAACACTCCTCGACGGGGGAGCTGAACGGAGGGCGTGCTCACGAGGCCCGCCAGGTTGTTCGCACTGGAAAGCGCAGCGCCACCTCTCATCGACCTTCCCGATCTCAGAGACCACATCCTTCGGCAGGGTCGCTGTCATGATTCCGCAACCGGCAAGACTAGCGTCGAAAACCTCCACCTCCGAAGCCCAGGGCCGCCGCATGTTGGCCCGCGCAAAGGGCAGCAGAGCGGCGGCAGCGCGGAGCTCCTCGGCGGCGGCCCGCCAGAGCCGCCGCGGCTGGAGGTAGCGACACTGCGCGAAGGTGCAGCAGCTGCGGAAGATAGAGAGCAGCGGCCGATGCCCCAGAAACTGGAAAGTGGCATGTCCCAAGAGCCGCTCCAGCTGACAACCGCTGAGCCAGGGTCGCTGGCGGCTCACGCGACGACAGACCTGGCGGAGGCGCCGCGCCTTGGCAGGGCTAGGGCGATGCTCCCGAGTGAGTCCGTCGATGGCGAACCCCAAGGGCCCGGCCCAGTGGCGGGCAGCCCCCTCCTCGTGGACCTCGAAGCCGAGCGAGGTCACCCGGCGTTTGCTATCTTCTCGGAGAGCGTCGGCCTGGGCTGGAGAAGAGGCAGCCGCCACATAGTTGTCGCAGTAGGGCAGGGCCAGCTCGGCCCCCGCCCTGAAAGGAGGCGGAGGGACGCGGTCCTGCATGACCGCGCCGGACACCCAGGGCCTGATCTGGTGGACCTGGTGAACGTGCAGGACCTGCGCGAAGAAGAAGCTCAAAGTCCATCCCATCGGCATCACCCCCATAGCGGGGGCGACCGCCGCGGAGCCCCACAAGTACCCAAATGAGGGATCGCCTTGGGTGACCACCTTCAGCTCTTCCCCAGTGATGTCAGGGAGGCAAAAGAGAAGCTCTCGAGGCCCGACGGCAGTCCACAGGCGTAGAAGTAGTCCTCCACGTCACTAAGCGAGAGATACATGTCAGAGTCCGCGTCCATCACGACGTCGGCCCAAGAAGATCCCGAACCCATTGGCACGTGGGGGCGCTCTCGGAAGCGGGCGTTGACGCGCCTGCAGTCGACGACGAGGCGCTGCTTGCCCGACTTCTTTCGTGCAAAAAATACCGAGATCCTGCCTCGAACTTGGTCGGCCCGTCGCCAGGCGAGGAGCCCACCTCTGAACAGGTCACCGATGAAGGTGAGATAGCTGCCGCGGCTGAACCGGAGCCGGGGGCCCATGTAGGAACCGATGTGCTCGAGACCACGCTCCACCTCCGCACCCCGCTGGTTGGCGCCCTTGAGCAGGTGGGCATCAAAATCTACGATCATCTTTGCGGCATCCGGCGGCAGCACCTCGGTAAGGGGCACGGGAACGCGTCCGTCACCAGGGATAGACACCAGAGCACGGTCGTAGGGTACCACTGTCAAGTCATCGTCCCCGCCATAGGGGACTCTGTTGCCGAGGAGCGCACGCATGGTTTCCTCGTCCGAGGCCGTCTGAGAGGGCGGCCGAAAAGAATTGATGGTGTCGTACAGGTGGTCAACGGTGGCCCGCTGTCCCAGAGAAGAACTTTTTGCGTCGGCGGCGGAGGAACCCACGAGCCAGTTGAGGGCCCAGATGCTCTCATTCACCTCGTCCGTGAGCCGACGTCGCCCCTGGACCCGCCGTCGAACTCCTCGGGAAAGGTGGGAACCAGCGACTGGCCCCTGAGGAATATAAGGTAGAGGAAGGAGTTCACGCGGGACGTCACGCTCTTCAGCGACGACACCAGCGAGAAAGCCCAGCCGGCTGGCCGGGGGCGCCCTAGATCTCGGCCCCACCCTCGGGCCGCAGGGGAGGCCGTCGCCGTCCATCATGGATGATCGCCGCCCTGGCCCTCCTTCTCGGGGCCCTTGGGCGGCTTCCTCAAACGAAGTTCTTCATTGTGCTTGAGCACCTCCTCATACACAGATGCCTTGTCGCGTGCCTTCTCGACCACATGCTTGACCAAAGTCGGAGCGACCCGAGCCCTGCCACGGCCCGGGCCCCAACCCATGAAGTCGTCGGCCCCGGTGTAGTCGGTGCCCTCAGGGGAGTTGAGAAGCGCCCGCTCGATCAGCATGGCGCCCCACCCAAGCGCCTCCAAAGAGACCAGAGTGGGGATGTAGAGCCGGTCCACCTCGGCGGCCAGCTCGAGGACCTTCATGATGTAGAAATGCCCAGGCACCGAACGATCACCCCCGGAATGCAGCTGATGAGCCCAGTTGTAGTGACGCTGGATGGGGCCACCTTCTCCACTCCGAGCGATCTCCTCCAAATACCAGAGAATGGACGCCTCCCCCTCGAGCGGTGAATCGCCGTAGCCGTGGCGCAGCATCAGATCGACGCCCTCCACAAAGCGGCGGCGGCGGGCGTTGCACCGCCACACCACTGGAAGAGTCCGAGTGTCCACATCCTCGTAGATCGAGTCGGAGGCGGCCGAGCAACACTGGAAGATCCCTGCAGGAGTGACCACCATCATGGCATCAGCGTTCCCTTTCTCTACGAGAGTGAAGGGATGACCCTCGACCACAGACGGATACACGGATCCACGACTGAAGGAATTATCTGAAGAGGGAGCAATCCGCCAGATCTTCACATTCGGAGCGGAAGGCGGCGGCTTCGCCACGGGGGCGTATCCACTGCCACCCTCCATGCGCTCCTCCTCGTCAACCACACCCCTGGCACGGAGAAAGAGAGGCACATCGAGAGGACCTCCTCGCCGACCCGCCCCGAAGGCATATCGAGGCTCCACGGCGGGACCTCGGCCATACATAGTCCCAATCACTTCACCCTCAGCGTCAAGCTGTCGGAGGGCCTGCAGGTTCCCGGGTTCGAAGAGATCCTGCGGGTACACGTCGCCGTCCACTGTAAGACTCCACCAGATCCAATCGTTCACCGAAAGGTCCTCGCCGTGGACCCTCCCATAGCACGCCTCGGGGCTCTTGCGGGGAATGCTCACCTCGTGCCAGAGATTCGGCTCGTCTCCGTACAAGAGAAGCACCTTCTCTCCAGCGTGCAGACCATACTTGGCGACATCCGCGAAGGCCATTGAGAACAAGGACGAGTAAGGACCAGATGAGTCCTATCACCACGTTCGCGTAAAAGGCCAGGCTCCCCAGGACGGCCGTCACCACCTCAACGCACCAAGGCACGCCCTGCTGCCGCGCCTCCTCGCGCCCAGCAGCTGACCGCTCGCGCTCACGCCGCTGCTCTCGGAACTCTGCCAGGACCTCGCTGAGGTCGGGACAGGTCGCAGGGCAGCTGCTGTTCCAGCGCGGCGCCGGAGCAGGGGCAGCGCAGCTCGGCGCCAGGGGAGCGCCGCTCGGCGCGCCGAGCCAGACACGGAGAGGCGATGGGGCCAACCACGCTCCCGTGAGGGCTGCAATAAAAACCCTCCCGAGTCCCTGCGGAAGCATTGGACCCTGAAAAAACTTGAGCCGTGGGATTGCGGAACGGAAAACGGGCCCAAGACGCCACAAGTATGAGACGGCCCAGGCAACAGGAGTACCCCATCATTCAAGCACTATATATCCATTCAAATAGATCCGAAAGATGCTTTGTGGGTTTGCGTGGGCCCCCGGTCCCCAGAGCCCTCAGAGAACCCCGAAACGCCCGGAAGGGACCGAAACGGCACCGGAGCTCCCCAGAAGAACCCCGAGATGGCCCACGGAGGCCCCGAGACGACCCAAGACTCTCAAGAGGGCTTTCAGGCGTTCCAAGATGTTCTCCAGACGGCCCCATGAGCCCCAAAGACGCCCCCGGACGGCTCCAGGCGGGCCCAAGGGGGGTTCCATCAAGCAAAAATCGTACAATCACTTCGGAAAATTGTCATTTTCAGCAGATTCGGCTTATTGCTTTTCGAATCGTCCACAACGGCCCCAAGGCCTCCAAGATCGCCCAATACGGCCCCCAAGAGGGCCCAAAGATGGCCCCAGACGGGCCCAGGACGGCCCAAGAGGCGCCCAAGACGACCCAAGAGGACCCCACGAGAGGCCCAAGAGGGGCCCAGGACAGTCCACGATGGCCCCAAGACGGCCCGATAGGCGCCCAAGATGGCCCAAGACGGCCCCAAGACGGCCCACGAGGCGCCCTGCCGGCCCAAGAGGGCTCCGAGAAACCCCCGGGGAGCCCAAAACAGCCCCCATAGAGCTCCCAAGCGGCTCCCAAGAAGCTTCGAAAGTGCTTCCAACAGAGGGGGGCGGACGAGAGGCGAGAGGCCCCTCGCAGGCGCAAAACAATTACTCACTGCGTGGAGCTCCCCATATGCGCATCTCAGGTTTTATGTCATGCCATAGTGAGCGTCTGTTCATGAGCGCTTGGCTATAATAGCGCGCCCACGTGGGTTACAGGGCCGACGAAGACAAGTGAATCCTAATGCGAGTGAGTGAGTATGAGTCAGAATGAGCTTTGAGAATGATTGAATATGAGCCTCCCATTCGCTCCCCCTCCTCAGCTGCCAGGCCGTGCCTTCCTCAGCCTGTGGTGATGTGCGTATGTTTTAAGAGAGTTGGCAGTGGGATCTGTAAAACGAGCGTTTACCCAAGGAAGCAGCACGCCTCATCGCCTTCCTCGCAGCATGAAAACAAGCAAGCCGCCTGAGACATCCCCACAAAATGGCCGCGAACGGGCCCGTGAAAACACCCCTGGCGGCCCCCCCCTTAGGGGTGCTGAAACCAGCGCCCCGCCTGAGTCTTCCTCACAATCTGCTCTGAACGCAAAAGATGTTGGGCATGAATACGAGCAAACCGCTCGAAACATCCCCACAAACTGGCCGCGAACGGGCCACTGAAAACACCCCTGGCGGCTCCCCTTAGGGGTGCTGGAACCAGCGCCCCGCTTGAGACATCCTCAAAATCTGGTCTGAAAGCAGAAGATGTTGGGCACGAAAACGAGCAAGCCGCGTGAGACATCCCCACAAGCTGGCCGCGAACGGGCCCGTGAAAACACCCTGGGGCAGCCGTCGGCCTGCCCTGGTGCGCTCCTCGGTGACCCTCTTGCGATTTTTCTGTTTGGCCTCCCGATCCTCCGTCAGGGTCGGCGGAACCGGCTGCAAGAACTCTCCAATTCAGCCATGAGAGCGCCAAGGGGCCCCAAGAAGCCCCGCAGCAGACACGGAGGACGAGGAGGACGCATAAACAACTGCTGCACGCAAGCAGCACGACGGGAAGTGGCAGGCAACGCGCACGAGATCGGAAGCCGCACATCTCCTCTTCTGGGTATCTGCGCAACCAGCTGAAAGGCCTCTCCAATCAAGCCTTGTGACAGCGAAGCGTCAAGACTTTGGAAACCTCCCAGATGGGGTCTGAGCACGTAGTGTTGGAATATCACGCCGCATCGTCAATGCATCGTCGATGCATCGGCGATGCATTGGCGATGCATTGGCGACACCGGCGATGCATCGGCGCCGTCGGCGCGGAGAGAATCGGGCTCCACATCGAGCCGCATCACCGATGCATGGGCGATGCGGCGCGTTCCTCCGACCCCGTTTACTCGGCCTCCATCTGGGCGGCCTGGATACTGGGAGGCCTGGATATATTTTTTGATCCGCGGGCGCGCGAGTCGAACGCCGAGCCTGCTACAGCAGGCCGCGCCGGTAGCGACGAGAAAAACAAGGAGGCCTGGATACACTTTTCTTGTCGCAGCCGCAGGCGAAGGCGCCAGCGGCGAGTCGAGTCTGGCCTGGACATTTTTTAAACTCGGCGGCTCCAAGGAAAACCCCAGGGAGCGGTCACAACGTCCGGGCCACGGCGCATTGTAAATTGGCGATCCAGCCGCCACTGTAGGCAGCGGACCGCACCTGCAAGCGAGCTCGCAGTTGCACATGCACAGTACACGTACTAAATTCGAGGCGGCTGAATGTCCCCAAGGCGGCGCCAACACAGAAAACCGGGCGATGAGTGGCCTGGACATACGCGAAGCGTCACGGACTTTGACGGGGCCTCCCCGCGCGCCTCCCGCCTCTCGACGGCGCACGCGGCCACGGCGCGGCGCAGCCGCCAGCGCCCGTACGCACGCTCCACGCGCCGCACGGCCGCCTGCTCCGCCTGCCGCCTCCGGGGGGCACGCTGCGGGGGGCAGCGGCGGCGCTCCTCGACCCGCCCTGCCTCCTCGAGTCTCCTTCGCCACCCAACTTCGCCCCTCGCGCCCCAGGGGTGCGCGGTGCGCGGCTGTCTTCGCTCCCCCGCGAGGCCACCTTGGAGAAGGGCACCGCTCACATTCGAGCCGCTCTTCGCGCCCATGGGGGTGACCTGGGGTCTCGGCTGTCTTTTCCAGGCTCCTGCCAGAGGCAGAGCTCGCCGGGGCGCTGGGCGCTCGCATCGTCTCATCGGCCAGGGTGGCAGTGGCGGCGGCGGCGGCGGCGGCGGCGGCGGCGGCGGCGACGACGACGACGACGACGACGACGACGACGACGACGACGACGACGACGACCCTGTCAGCTGCTGCCTATCTGGCGCTATGAGGAGTGCGACAACTGCTGCCCATCTGTCGCCATGGCCTTGCCACGAGGAGGAAAGGGGGCGGGAGGTGCAGGAGGCTGCCTCGCGGGGCGGCGGAGAGCGGACGGGGGACGGGAGGTGGAGCGGGGCGCGAGGAGGAGGAGGGAAGGCCCTCGAGGCCCAATAGTTTGCCTAAGAACAGAAGGGAGGGGAGGCGAGGTGCAGAGGAGCGGAAGCTGGAGCGCAGAGGAAGAGGCGTCCGCTCCAGCGTGGGCGTTCGGAATCCCGCGTGGGCCTTGTTCTGTCGGCGCTCGTCCCCTGCTGGCGGGGCCCCTGACACCGCCCCTTAGCACGGTTTGCGCAGCAGGGGCGGGGAGGAGGAGGAGGAGGAGGAGGAGGAGGAGGAGGAGAATAGGAGGAGGAGGGGGAGGAGGAGGAGGAGGAGGAGGAGGAGGAGGAGGAGGAGGAGGAGGAGGAGGGGAAGGAGGAGGAGGCGGAGGCGGAGGCGGAGGAGGAGGAGGAGGAGGAGGAGGCGTGGATCCAGAGCTGGCCCAGCACCTCCGCGCGGACCTCCGAAAAGGTTATGTTTCTGCGGTGCGAGGGAGGAATGTTCCTCGAGGGGTGGGCTGGGGGCGGGATGGAGGAAATGGAGTGGGGGTGAAGCCCCTGGGGCCCCTGGATGCTGGGAAGCCGTTGGGGGCCCATTGGGGAACCCTTCCAGCCCGAAGCCTCGGGCATGCCCCACCCTTGGCACTCTCTGGGATACCCGCCGAGAGGCGACTGGCTTCACCGGGCGCACCTGCGCATCGAGGTCGGTTCCAGGCAGTGGGGGCCGAAAGCAGCTGCATGCATGCAGCGTGCATCAGGAAGCTGGAAGCACGCTTCCTCGGCAGCCGTGCGCTCTGCAACACGGCGGCCCCAGCGGGTGCAGTCGCGGGCGCCACGGCGGAAAACGGGGGAGCTGGAAACACACATGGCCGGGTTCACGCGTCGAGGAGGAGGAGGAGGAGGAGGAGGAGGAGGAGGAGGAGGAGGAGGAGGAGGAGGAGGAGGAAGAGGAGGAGGAGGAGGAGGAGGAGGAGAGAGGGAGGAGGAGGAGGAGGAGGAGGAGGAGGAGGAGGAGAGAGGAGAAAGGAGAGAGGAGAGGAGAGGAAGGAGGAGGAGGAGGAGGAGGAGGAGGAGGAGGAGGAGGAGAGGAGGAGGAGGAGGAGGAGGAGAGAGGAGAGGAGGAGGAGGAGAGGAGGAGGAGGAGGAGGAGGGTAGGAGGAGGAGGAGAGGAGGAGGAGAGAGGAGGAGAGAGAGGAGGAGGAGAGAGGAGGAGGAGGAGGAGGAGGAGGAGGAGGAGGAGGAGGAGGAGAGAGGAGGAGGAGGAGGAAGAAGTCCAGCGCGCATGGACACAGAAGGGCCGAGCGCCGGAGAGACGCCTGCGCGCACGCGCGCCCGGCCCTCGCCCCCGGCCATCCTAGCTGTGCGTGCGGCAGGTTCGCGCGGCGTCGGCGCGCGCAGCGGTTTTAGACACCGCGCCGACCGTTAACCTTGAGCCAGACGCGGCCCCCTGCTCGGGTCGAACCAGCCCTCGACTGCGGAGGTGCTGATGAGGGTGATCCTGCACTTGTCCCCTGCGCTCGAGCAGGCTTGGTCCACCCGATCCAGGCCCCGATCGTTCAGGTTCGAATCCCGTCGGGCCCTGTGCTGCTAACGTGTCCCTCGGTGCTTCCGCGTCGCTCTACCGTGCAGAACTCCACCTGGAGGAGCGCCGTCGTTGGCGCCGCTGGCGCGCCATCGCCGCGTGAACCCAGCGTGCCCACCGCCCTGGCAGAAGGGCGGGACTGCCGGTCTCGAGGGCTTCCTGAAGACCTCAGGCCAGAGGGACCACGAGAGGAGCCAGGAGCCGGGCCCCTCCGCCCGTGGTTAACAAGCCTTGGGTCGGGCGTGTCCTCCTACAGGCGGATTTCGGACGAAGAACTTCACAAATACTCACAACAAGCACTCAGCAAATATCCACACATACTACAAACATCGTCCCCAATGTATTTGATTTTACTATAGTTGAACTTTGCTCCGGTAGAGTTGATCGGGCGTCCCCCTACGGGCGGATTTTGGGCGAAAAATTAGAACTCCCCCCAAAATACTCCCAAACAGTTCTGAAAGATACAAGAAAAAAACCTCCCCGGACTATGTTTGACTATTCTTCAATATTCCGCCTGCAGAGGGACAGGCCCGACTTAACTGTAGAGGGACAGGCCCAACTCAGAACAAGCCCCGCAGGCGCACCCGGGCGCGAGGCGCGACGGGCGGGCCGCCGCCGCGGCGGGAGCAGGCCCTGCCACAGCCGATGCGGGCCAGGCAGCAGAAAGCATGGGGCCGAAGAGGCGGGGGCGTCGCCAGAAGGGGGAGCAGGGGGAGGAGGAGGGGGGGGAGGAGGGAGGAGGAGGAGGGAGGAGGAGGAGGAGGAGGAGGAGGAGGAGGAGGAGGAGGAGGAGGAGGAGGGGAGGAGGAGGAGGAGGAGGAGCGGGAGAGAGGAGAAGGAGGAGGAGGACGAGGAGAGACGAGGAGGAGAGGCGTGGATCCAGAGCTGGCCCAGTACCGCCGCGCGGAGTTCCGCGCGGACCCCGAGCCGAGGAGGCAGGGTGGCGTCGCCAAGGGTGAGGAGGAGGGGGAGGGGGAGGGGGAGGAGGAGGAGGAGGAGGAGGAGGAGGAGGAGGAGGAGGAGGAGGAGAGGAGGAGGAGGAGGAGGAGGAGGAGGAGGAGGAGGAGGAGGAGGAGAGGAGGAGGAGGAGGAGGAGGGAGGAGGAGGAGGAGGAGGAGGAGGGAGGAGGAGGAGGAGGAGGAGGAGGAGGAGGAGGAGGGAGGAGACGAGGAGGAGGAGAGGAGACGAGGAGGAGGAGGAGGAGGAGGACGAGGAGGAGGAGGGGGGAAGGAGAAGGAGAAGGAGAAGGAGGAGGAGGAGGAGGAGGAGGAGGAGGAGGAGGAGGAGAGGGGGAGGCAAGCTAGGTGCGCTCGCGTCATATCTGACATCCTACCCCTCCCTCCCATCCCTTACCATGGCACAGATCCCCTCTCTACTCGCTCAGTCGGATGTCGAGCGGGGCAATGATGGGTACGCAATGCATTGTAGAACACGGCATGGCATGGCGTAGAAAAGCACCGTAAAGCGTAGTATCAACCTAGCATTGCAGTGCATGCCGTAGCATGGCACGGGAAATGACGCCAGCGCTGCAGCGGGAGCAGGAGTCGAAACGAGCGGAAGCGCGGAAATGAGGCCAGCGCTGCAGCGGGAGCACGAGTCGGAACGAGCGGAAGCAAGAAAATGAGGCCAGCGCTGCAGCGGTAGCACGATTCGGAACGAGCGGGGCCCGAAAATGAGGCCGGCGCCTCAGCGAGAGCAGCATTTTGAAAAAAATGCAAGCGAAAACCCAACTCCGGGGAAACCTGTGGGTAAAAACAGTACGCGGGGGGGGGCCCTACCAGGAGAGGACGTGGCGGCTGGCGCGGAAAGCTAAGAGCACTTTGCAAAGCCGCGGGCGCCAGGGTGTGCTACACGGTCAGGCGCCGGTCCAAGCGAGCAGTGGGCCGCACCGGAAGCGAAAAAATAAAGGCACGAAGCGAAAGAGCAGAGAAGGGGAGACGGTCAGGGAGAGGCCCGCTCAGGCGCTAAGAGTGAAGAACAAACAGAGACCACAAAAAAGACGCAGAATCAGCACCCCGACAAGCGAAGCCGTTTTGTGAACGCACCCTGGGAAGGAATCCAGCAGGCCAGGGCTGCGCAGAAGACGTCCACGGCCGCTCCGCCAGCGTCAATGATGGGGGTCGGGGTGGTTGTGTCTCCCCTGAGCACAGCCCACCGCAGAGCTGCTCCGCCACCGCCCTGGCCCCTCTGCCTCGTCCCCCCCCTCCTCGGCGTCCACCTCCGCCCCGCGGGCTGGCCTTCGCGTGCTGCGCGCGGCCTCGAGGAGGGCACGGGCGGCCCGCTGGATCTGCGGGGGAGGGGGGGGGGGCTGCGGCCACGAGGGGCGGGCGCACGGGGAGGGTGGCAGGTTACCAGCCTGGAACATATCCCTATCCCTATGCTGGGCACCTCCTCATCACGATGCCAATCTTAGGGATTCCCTTATTTTTTGAGGGCGAGTCCCCAAGATTGTCATCGCCGTTTGGCGTGCCAATCTTAGGGATAGGGATACGTTTGAGGCTGGTAAGTATCAGGCCCGCGCCCTCTGAGAAGCAGCGGTGCCCTAAGCCGCCCCTGCGCGTGGCTGAGCAGAGCTCGGGTGGCAGCTCCCGGGCGTCTCCCGTGCCGCCTTGCTGGCTCTCGCGAATCGGCGCGAGTCCACGCCGGTCGATGCTGAGTCGACGCTATATAGTCGACGTGGCCCCTCGACGTGGCCAATCTTAAGGATAGGGATACGTTCGAGGCTGGTAAGCAGGGAGGGGGGGAGGGGGGGGCAGAGGCGGGGGAGGCCCGCGGAGGCCGAGGGGCAGCCTCGGCGATCCGGGGCCGCGGCGCGTCAGGCCAGGGAGGGGGGAGGGGGGAGGAGGAGGAGGAGGAGGAGGCGGAGGAGGAGGAGGAGGGGGGGAGGAGGAGGAGGAGGAGGAGGAGGAGGAGGAGGAGGAGGA